GAAACTTGAAACAAATAATTTTGAATGAGAAAAATATTCAGATAAGATAGATAGATACCATACCAAAACGTGATGATGCATATCAAAGCTAATCTCACAAACACACAATTGAATGGCGAGGATAGATGTGTGAATACTGCCTAGGAGATTTGTATAAGTGTTGGTAGTTAAATATTTTAACATCTCCATGCTTAGCAAAGATGGAGGGAAAATTCGCGTAACAGCAGCATTGATTAACTCAAACGCCAAGTGTCATGGGCGCGAGCCTAGCAGATAATCTTGGGATTAGCTATTCTAGTAATTCGTTCGAAAAACTAACCGATTAATTTTTGGAATTGGAGATGATCATTTCTTACCCATATAATATATTTTTTTCTGATGCATATATATCACCAACATAATGCCGGATTATTCCATCCTTGGTATAGTTGATGGAGAGAATGTGGAATGTTATCTTTCTTCAAGTGGTGCTGTGATAAATAAACTTTTCAAAAAACTCGGAGGAAATATAATCAAACCAATAATCACAGAAAATAAAAGATCCATGTATTTTAAAGAGAGATTTGGCGAGAAACTTTTTTTCTGAGGCAAAATACCAATTACCGTCGGAAAAAATGTTACAGCACCTGTTTAGATAATGGTTATAGATCTTGAGAGTCTTTTCTCCTCCAAGCCACATATGGAAAAAAATATGGAGTATTATTCTCATAGAATCATGCTTGGTACTCCTTTTCCTATTTCTATTGATCGTTGAATGATCCGATCTTTAATCTACTAACTCTTCACAATCAATATTTTTTTAATCCTTCCTTACTTATTGAAAAACGATATTTAATTTTAAAGATACCACTATAACTGATACTAGCAACAATAATGACAATAATAATGATGATGATAAATAATAAAAGGTAAGAAATAATCATGAATATTATTTGATTTTTTAATAATTTTTTTATTGTCGCCAATTAGGGGATCGGGAGAGTAGAATAATTGGTGGCAAATATAATAAATAAATTGGGTGAATCTGATTGAATAAGCCGCCTTTACCAGTGAAATGGTTTTAGGTTTGATATTGTTTCAAGTTAAAACTTGTTATATGTTTAATTTTCATAATTATACTAGATTTCAATAATAGACAAATAATATTTTTTTATATTTTTTTTTCAGAAAACAAAGTTATTACTATAACTATCTATGAACATCCACTAGCTCTTTCCAGATGACGTGAATACAGTAATTCTCTCGAAAGAAAAATAATCATCATATTTCAGAGCGATTAATAATGTAGGTCCATTGTACATGACGTGTGGTTAGCTTTTGGTAC